TTTTTATTACACGATTTCGTAAAAGCACTATTGCTAATGCGCATTTCATATGATAGAATGTTAATATATACGACAAGTTTTTTCAAAATAGACATGTTTCGACATCTCATGATGCCATCTTCAGTATGAGTGAAATAATAAGTGATACAGGGTTTATATAAAAGTAATATGATACACAAATTACAACAATAAAAAGGAAATAAGATAAATTAATGGGGAGCGTCCGAGCATATTATAAACTAAATATTGTATTGAATTTATAATACGCTCGGATGATCACCATTAATTTATCTTATTTCCTTTTTATTGTTTTAATTTATGTATCATATTACTTTTATATAAATCTTGTATCACTTATTATTTCACTCATACTGAAGATGGCATCATGAGATGTCGAAACATGTCTATTTTAAAAAAACTTGTCGTGTATATTAAATGCGCATTAGCAATAGTGCTTTTACGAAATTATTCATATCATATTTCCTCTACTGCCTCGTGACCATGCACATGATGTGTATCGATGTAGAACATTACTATTATATAGTAGAAATTTATTTCTTTTTATTATAATATATAGATATATGAAAGTTAACAAGCTCATTTTCCAAACTTGAGTCGAGCTAGTTCCAAAATCTCACCAAAATCAACAAATTTATCTTTATAAAACATTTACATACGTACATAGCGTGGAAGTAGAATATTTTTACAGAAAAACAAAATAATCGATAAATGGACATGAAGCATTAAATAACAAAATCAAAATACAATATAACAACGAAAGGTAAAGTTTAAAATCAACATACCTTCACAAATTCAGAAAGATTTCAAGATACAACCAACTACATGATATCTGCGCGGCGTTCTAGTCGATTCTGTGGTATAATTTAAATGATTGGCGTTTCCGGTCACGTGAGATATGTTACCCTACCCCTAGGAGAAAGGCTCCTACAATATACCGGAAGAAAAACCCTTTCGTTTTACCAACCAAACAAATCACCCATTCGTCTTATGAGACGTGGCTAAAAGCCGGTAAAGTACGGGTACAAAACGTCGGCAGGTAGTCGTGGGAGATACATACGTTGTACTTTGGTCGTTTAACTTATGTTATTATGTCATTGGTAATATCGATAATATTTTCTCATTTGTGATTTTCTTGCTGGTAATTTTAAACGATGCCAAGGTACACCAAATAACGGCCTTATAGCTGTTAGACTTTTCAACATTTATTTTCATTATATAGATTTTTATGATAATTTTTGTAGGAGCAATAAAAGGTTTAAAGCAACTGTAGCTGTCACATATCATGATAAGGATGGCCATGTTGAGAGAGAGGAGGTGGATTTGTCAGAATTGCTTACTGAGGATTATAGAGTAAGCTGTTCTTTTAACAGTTCTGATAATTGTGGTGCATTGGAACGCCATGAACTGGGAATGGAACAAGATAACAGTAATCTTGAAAGTGATGTTCACCATGATTGTGAAGAATCATCTTCTTATTACCAGAAAGTTGAAAGAAAACAAAAAGCATGGGAAAATTTGCAACATTCAATTATAAAGAATACATTTCAGTTTGCTGGCAAAAATTGGAGCAATCTGAAGTGTATTCATTGTGATAATGAAGCAAAGTTTAGGTGCAAGGATTGTGGTCCAATGGCAAAGTATTGTGAGAACTGTATGTTAAAGATGCACACAACCGTAAATATTTGTCATCATGTTGAACTAATTAAGGTAACATTTATGAGCTAGATATTATAAAAGTGTTTACAGTTAACTCTCTCAACACTTGCAACAAAAAAATCAAATGAGAGTTTACATTGTGAAACATGCTACGAAGCACTAATCTAATATTTTGTACGAATGCAAGAAAGGGGATTGTTTACAACTAATTTCTACAAGGTTATTCATTGCTTTGCTTTGTAGGATGACATATTTTGGCCATATAAACTCACAAACATGCTGGTGTATGATTGTTCATGCCAAACAGCTCGTCACAAAAGAAGTGTTTCTGTTGTTGATGTTAAAGGTATGTTATATGTAAAATGTGCTGCAAAAGTTTTTTCATTTTAGCTGGGATGGTTCAACACAATTATAATTTTGGATCTTTTTCAATTTTAGGCACCTTTTGTACTGTTGAGGTACACTTTGCTCATGCTCTCCAGAGTTTGTTCAACTTCTGCAATTTGGCCTTTGGGTGGAACACCTACAAAACCAAGAATTGCATTTGCAATTGAGTTTTTGAATTGATTCATTCTGTGCAGATGGAATGCCAGGCATCAATAAAAGCATTTGTCAGTCATTTGAAGAGTTTAATCATAACCACATATTCTCTTCTTATGCAACACCAAAATGTATCCTGTCATTATAGATGCTTTTGAAGAATATAGGTAACTGCATGTAGGTCACTGATTTATTGCACTGCTGTACTACGTATGAATTGCTGGGAAAGTTGCAGTCAATTTTATAGCCTAAGAATCTCATCTTAAGAGATGTATTTAATTGGAGGAAATCAAAATGCTAAAGTTTATGATGGGAAAGGATTTTTCCTCAAGTATTACTGTCTTGCACTGTATTTTGTTTATGTCATTTGTTTAAGAGTGCATAATTGCTTTCTTTGTGTCATTGTTTTTTTCAGAATTTACAGACATAAACTAAACATGTTGAGCTGTGTTATTCCTGAGCTTGATGAAGGAAATATCTGTCCTACTTGTCCCAAAGTGAGTATATTCAGATTACTTGTTTAACAATGACAATTTAGTAAAAGAACATTAGCAATGCTATCTCAAACACCTTTTTGACTGCATCATTTGCATCATTGAACTCAAATACATTGCATGATTTTATCCTTCACCATTTTATTGAAGACTGATGGTGTGACTTTGAGTCTCTTGATGCTCTATTTATTGGAAATTTTACAAGTTGTTGCTGTGTTTTCATTTTCTGGTAAAATCCCTTTTTGTAGTGTATTCCAAAACTGTGGTAATACATATGCCAGGTTAACAACATTATCTGAGATCCAACATCCAAGTACAATCCGTAAGTAATGTGTGGGATTGCTTTGGTATATTGATGGAATATTCTTTGTGGTTGGCTTAGAAAATGATAGCATGCTCTTGAAAAGGCATAGTTATAGCTTGATATAGCCATCATCATTACAACCACGCCACAAACATTGCTACATGTTTGGAATGGATACACTTTGAACAATTGTCTGTGCACTTGTGTCCTCCTCTAACCCGCATCTGCTATCAAGATCATGTGTCATTGTTACTGAGTAGTTGGCTATGCTGTCGCAAATATTATGTGCCTTGATGAATTTATCTAAAATGTGTAGAAGAGTGTTCGGAAATTGCCAGCCTAATGAATCCTCATATGTAATGTTTTTGTCATTAGTGTCTACATAGCGAAGTACCCAATGGTTTCAGGGGTGCAAATCATCTCCAAGGAGTGTGTTGCCATTGCTTTTTTTACCAACATTTATGGCAAAACAGAATTTTGAAATGAATTCATATTTAGCATGGTGTTGGGCTGTTGTGGGTGGTTTTGTTCCATTGAGGTACACATAATATGTATCTGTTTTCTTTGGTTTAGGTTTGTTGTCAACCAGCATATGTGGTCACTTGACACCCATCTGTCAACACATAACCTGGACATCTCATTGGATGACAATCCTCGTTCTTTCATAATCTCACTGTATGGGGTTCTGTACAAAAGCTTCTGAAAGGCTGTAATTGAAGCAGCTGATGGATGTTCCACCACCGTGTCTGGTTTGTTCAATGGTCGTGAAAACCAGGCAATTTCCTCTTCGACTTCTACTTGTATGCTTTTAAGGTGTGAAATTTCTGCAGATTGGTGATGCAATTGATATCTAACCTTCCTTGTGATGTGTTGATACATGCTCCTTTGCTTGTACTTGATGCCTCAACTATTTTTCTCCATTGTTGCAACTGGTCCATACTTGGCATAGATGTTACATGGCAAGGATCAACAACTGAATCATCATCTGTAGTGCAATTTACACCTTTGGTAAACCATTTCTCAATCTTTGGCAACAAAGACTCAAAAGCCTGACCTCTAGTTAGCTTGCTCAGTACGGGCTCTATCTTTTTTGAAGCTTTTTTGAGAGACAAAACCTCCAAATAAATTATGTACATATAATTAACAAAACTAATTTCCCATTTCAATATTATGAATTTTTAATGCAAGACTTTAATCCTATGTCATGTCAGGGCCTATATTCATGTTGCCTTGCACCCCCATCCCCATTGCACTGCAATGGTCTGAACTAAATAACCGAAATAACTGCATAAAATTTGCAAGTAGTGCAATTTCAGTGAAAGTTCCGGGGTAAGTCAGAATATGTTTATGTTTAGTAGCTTATTATAAATTTAAAATACTATAATAACAACACTGCTAATATTGTTATAAGTATTACCAATTATTTCCAAAACATTGCCAATACGGCAGTTGTCAAGTAGTTTCATGTATTCTGACTTACTCTGCAGCGAAAGTAGTGTTTGCAATTCAGTTAATGTATGTGCATATGCTTAGTGTGATGAAGCAATTAAACTTGCAATATCTTTGTATTGTTATTCCACATACCACTTTTCACGAATAATAAAGAACTTAAAACGTTAAGATATTTAGCTTTATTATAGAGCAATACAATGGAAGGAGAACAAGAAAGTTCACAATGCGCATACGATGATGTTTTTTTACAAAAAAGTTAAAGTGGGTAAAATCGCATTTCGCGGCAAGACGATAAAACAATTCGCTCGCGTAACGATGGTGACATTTAATATTTATCTTTCAGTTCACGTTTCACGTGACAAATTTCAATATGGCTTCTGTTCCCCGATCTCTCGATTTAGCTGTAAGTCCCAAATCATTGGTGTCTTATCAAAGTGATTCTTCTGACGAAGAGAGAAGTAATAATGATAAATCTAAAGAAGATGAAAAGTCAATATGGATGCTCTAAAATCTAAGTTTCTTTTAAACAGCGCGCCAATTGTTGATGCTAAGGTAAAGTGTAATAGTTTTTATCCAAAGTCCTAACTAGGCAACTACCAACGCCAAGGTTAAATCTATGATACGATTTGCTATGCTTTAAAGGAAGGAATTGATTGGAGAAGACACATCGATCCTTCAATGAAAGAAGTTAGATTTAATGCAAAGTATGACTACTCTTTTCTGCTTCGGTACGTTAATAATTTAATTATTGTCACCATTTACATGCACATAGACAAAATCATGATTTTGGAGAAGTCTACTATTTTAGATTGGACCTCAAAATCCATTTAAAACGGAGCAGAAAAGAGCACATAAAAATATGTTGTCTGGCTATGTTGAGCCAGCTCATATCAGTAAATTTCAATTTGATAATCAACTAAAAACATTCTCAAGTTACGGTAAGAGCAAAAACAAGCATAGTTTGAGAAAAATGTTTTTGTTAATGAGTTATGTGTGATCTTTTTGTTTTTAATAAATCACAGGTTATGCATTAGATCCAAGTGATGACACAGCTCACATTGAAGAGAAGTTAGTTACAATATATGTATATAATATTGTTACAATGTGCTTATAGCATAACTATGATATAGCATACATCTTCAACGATAGTCATGTTAGTACAGGAACGCACATCTCTTCAAAATTTTTTGTGTTTTACATTGTAGGGATGATTTATTGTAGTGTAGATTGATACTAAAACCCAATACAAACCAACTTTTTCATCCTTTATTAGTTTCCGGACTAACTTTTTATACATAATTCACAATATGTAGAGGGTATTAAACACTCCTACATCAAACATGTTCCTCAGTGAATGCATCAAGTCTGAAATAGAATAATGCTGAAGTATTATATCACTCAATTACTTTGAATTGATTCAAGCTGATAAATGTTTATTTGAGTGGAATATGATGAATGTGCTTTGTCATGAAATTACCTAAAAAACATAATGTAGTACATGGCTCTTAATTATTAGTAAATAGGCTTGGTAATGTTTTATGTTTATATCAATTGCTATCCATTAAGATTTGTTGGGGATGTTGAGAAAGCAAAGGTTGGCAAGGGATTGACTGTGTTTGAAGCTACAAAACAGCAAGCGGGAGATAAGAGGAAAAGAGAGAATAGGGAGATCCTGGTGTGATTGATGGATACAAGGGTACGATAACGACAATAATCATAACTTTTGAAAGGTTGTCCGACTATCTCTTATTCTATGTTATCCTATAGGACCATAGAGTAAGTTTGTTGATGAAGAAACTATTGCTAAACCATCTGAGGTATTTCAATTACCCAAATAAAGAGTTTTATAAAGATATTTTTCAAATCAAACAATTATTTTTCTGGCATTTTACCTTGGTGAATACAGGAAGGGTCGACAATACTTGAGGAGTATGAATTATCAAAGAAAAACAAATCAAAGAAAGATGATATGAAACCTTCAGAAGAGAAATCCACATTACACAGTAAGTTAAAATTTTTATACTTTCTTGTAGTATCCTAAACTTTACCAAATGTAATTATTTTTCAGTTAAAGATGCATATGACTATCAAGGAAGATCATATCTTCACATTCCACAAGATCTTGGCATTAATCTCAAGTCAGATACTCCTCCAGAACTATGTTTTCTACCAAAGCAACATATTCATACGTGGTATGTAAACAATTCTCCATTTAGTTCATTTATTCAAAATCAAAAAATGGAAGTTAAAATATCAGAAATGACGTTAAACACGCTATTGAATTCTAGTTATTCTTGTATTTGTTTGTTTTCTGTTACTTTACTGTAAAACAAAAACGAAAGAAATATGAAAGTTTACTTACCAAAATGTAATTAGAAACGCCATGGAACGTCTGACTTCGAGTCATCAATATGCTTTAAATTTTGTAGATTTTAAGGAAAACACGCAATAATTGAATTAAGTTTAAAGACAGTTTATGATATAATTCTTGATGGTATTGAGGAAGTTCAATTATACAATACAGTATTCATTAGAGAAAGCGTCTCATCCAAATATAAACTTAAAATATGAGCGTTTTTTTAATACGAGATGTTTAGGTGATCATTTGATATGTTTATAAAATCATATTTATCAGTGTATTATTTATTATAAAATAATGATTTGTTCTAGCACTACGTACGTATGTTTGTAGATATTGTATTGGACTTCCTTAGCACTTGTTTTAAGAAACACGGCTAACCTGACATTTACTTATCATTTGACTCTGAAGATGACTACTGCTAAGGTTGTCGAAACGTCAGTCAACATCAACACCAACAGTCCTTCACAGGACTCTACTAACCTCGACAAAAACGTAACGATACTTCCTGATGCAAATATTCACTTTATACAGCACTTTTTAATAACATTTAAGTATTTGTTTTCCTGTAGTTCATCCTTCTACCGTCGTGATAAAAGAAAGCAATGGAGATATTCTTACTTATGTATTATTGTATTTTTTTTATCTTTCTCTTAGGTCTGGTCACACTAAAGGTGTTTCTGCAATAAGATTCCTTCCGAAATCTGCTCATCTTCTTCTTTCGTGTAGCATGGATTGTAAAAATAAGGTAAAAAGTCATTTTCTCTGTCTTACATGTCGTTGTTCATTTTGAGTTTGGTTGTACATCGTTGAATGTTCCTCCAACCTTACTGGAGGTGAGAATTTTTATTAAATTACCATCACGACAAGCAATACATTTGAAACAATACATTTCCTTTCAGAAACTGCAAGATGATATTCATGTAAGCGCCAACGGCTCTGTTTTTGTAAAATCTAACATAAGACGAGGAATTTTATCCAGGTAATGTGGGATATTTCACATTCATTTGGTTCAAGGTCACATTTTTATTGATTCAAAAGATTGTTGAAAAAATAACATTTGCATTTTGTTGTATATTTTGCAAGAGTTTTTTGTCATTCGATGTACATAGCGTTCCTTCTTTGTCATTCGATGTATATAGCGTTCCTTCTTTGTCATTCGATGTACATAGCGTTCCTTCTTTGTCATTCGATGTACATAGCGTTCCTTCTTTGTCATTCGATGTTCATAGCGTTCCTTCTTTGTCATTCGATGTATAGCGTTCCTTCTTTGTCATTCGATGTACATAGCGTTCCTTCTTTGTCATTCGATGTACATAGCGTTCCTTCTTTGTCATTCGATGTACATAGCGTTCCTTCTTTGTCATTCGATGTACATAGCGTTCCTTCTTTGTCATTCGATGTACATAGCGTTCCTTCTTGTCATTCGATGTACATAGCGTTCCTTCTTTGTCATTCGATGTACATAGCGTTCCTTCTTTGTCATTCGATGTACATAGCGTTCCTTCTTTGTCATTCGATGTACATAGCGTTCTTTTTGTCATTCGATGTACATAGCGTTCCTTCTTTGTCATTCGATGTACATAGCGTTCCTTCTTTGTCATTCGATGTACATAGCGTTCTTTCTTTGTCATTCGATGTACATAGCGTTCCTTCTTGTCATTTGATGTTTATAGCGTTCCTTCTTTGTCATTCGATATACATAGCGTTCCTTCTTGTCATTCGATGTACATAGCGTTCCTTCTTTGTCATTCGATATACATAGCGTTCCTTCTTAAGTCTTTACTGTCCTAAATTGGTCTTGATATCTTTGGTTACAAAGTTTGATTTATTTGATTTTGGAGTTATATTATACACACATATGGTAAAAGCTATATGAAAGATTGTAAAGATGATAAAGTTGGTTTTATTAAACCTTTGTTTTTGAAGCGATCTTTGATGTTTTTATAAGATCCAGTAGCTAAAACGTCATGGAGTTTTCATCATGTACAAAAAAGATGCCTTTCCACTCTTCGCTTGTTTTCTCTAATCATCATCATCATCATATCTCTTCGCGCCAGGGCGATCCAAACTCGGGCTGGAAGTTTGGAAGTGTTGCCCGTGTTGTAGCAATCAGTCGAAATCAGGGACAGCACGTGAAGCCTTGCTACTTGTCCCCGTTTTCTTGAATCATTCAATATCATAAATAATTTACATTTTAGACTCTTCTTCAACTTCTTGATGCTCGACAACTTGCTTTAAAGTTGATTGCAAATGTCACTTATGGTTACAAATCAGCAAACGTCTCAGGACGAGTACCTTGTGTTGAGGTAACTTTGTATTCATGATAGAAATTTAAACAAACGATAGCTCTCCCATTCCATCTAAACAGACCGTGCGCCGTAAACTTTGTATTCATGATAGAAATTTAAACAAACGATAGCTCTCCCATTCCATCTAAACAGACCTTGTGCCGTAAACTTTGTATTCATGATAGAAATTTAAACAAACGATAACTCTCCCATTCCATCTAAACAGACCGTGTGCCGTAAACTTTGTATTCATGATAGAAATTTAAACAAACGATAGCTCTCCCATTCCATCTAAACAGACCTTGCGCCGTAAACTTTGTATTCATGATAGAAATTTAAACAAACGATAACTCTCCCATTCCATCTAAACAGACCTTGTGCCGTAAACTTTGTATTCATGATAGAAATTTAAACAAACGATAACTCTCCCATTCCATCTAAACAGACCTTGTGCCGTAAACTTTGTATTCATGATAGAAATTTAAACAAACGATAACTCTCCCCATTCCATCTAAACAGACCTTGTGCCGTAAACTTTGTATTCATGATAGAAATTTAAACAAACGATAGCTCTCCCCATTCCATCTAAACAGACCTTGCGCCGTAAACTTTGTATTCATGATAGAAATTTAAACAAACGATAGCTCTCCTCATTCCATCTAAACAGACCTTGTGCCGTAAACTTTGTATTCATGATAGAAATTTAAACAAACGATAACTCTCCCATTCCATCTAAACAGACCTTGTGCCGTAAACTTTGTATTCATGATAGAAATTTAAACAAACGATAGCTCTCCCATTCCATCTAAACAGACCTTGTGCCGTAAACTTTGTATTCATGATAGAAATTTAAACAAACGATAACTCTCCCCATTCCATCTAAACAGACCTTGTGCCGTAAACTTTGTATTCATGATAGAAATTTAAACAAACGATAACTCTCCCATTCCATCTAAACAGACCTTGTGCCGTAAACTTTGTATTCATGATAGAAATTTAAACAAACGATAGCTCTCCCATTCCATCTAAACAGACCTTGTGCCGTAAACTTTGTATTCATGATAGAAATTTAAACAAACGATAGCTCTCCCCATTCCATCTAAACAGACCTTGTGCCGTAAACTTTGTATTCATGATAGAAATTTAAACAAACGATAACTCTCCCATTCCATCTAAACAGACCTTGTGCCGTAAACTTTGTATTCATGATAGAAATTTAAACAAACGATAGCTCTCCCATTCCATCTAAACAGACCTTGTGCCGTAAACTTTGTATTCATGATAGAAATTTAAACAAACGATAACTCTCCCATTCCATCTAAACAGACCTTGTGCCGTAAACTTTGTATTCATGATAGAAATTTAAACAAACGATAACTCTCCCCATTCCATCTAAACAGACCTTGCGCCGTAAACTTTGTATTCATGATAGAAATTTAAACAAACGATAACTCTCCCATTCCATCTAAACAGACCTTGTGCCGTAAACTTTGTATTCATGATAGAAATTTAAACAAACGATAACTCTCCCATTCCATCTAAACAGACCTTGTGCCGTAAACTTTGTATTCATGATAGAAATTTAAACAAACGATAACTCTCCCCATTCCATCTAAACAGACCTTGTGCCGTAAACTTTGTATTCATGATAGAAATTTAAACAAACGATAGCTCTCCCATTCCATCTAAACAGACCTTGTGCCGTAAACTTTGTATTCATGATAGAAATTTAAACAAACGATAACTCTCCTCATTCCATCTAAACAGACCTTGTGCCGTAAACTTTGTATTCATGATAGAAATTTAAACAAACGATAACTCTCCCATTCCATCTAAACAGACCTTGTGCCGTAAACTTTGTATTCATGATAGAAATTTAAACAAACGATAACTCTCCCATTCCATCTAAACAGACCTTGCCGTAAACTTTGTATTCATGATAGAAATTTAAACAAACGATAGCTCTCCCATTCCATCTAAACAGACCTTGCGCCGTAAACTTTGTATTCATGATAGAAATTTAAACAAACGATAACTCTCCCATTCCATCTAAACAGACCTTGCGCGTAAACTTTGTATTCATGATAGAAATTTAAACAAATAATAGCTCTCCCATTCCATCTAAACAGACCTTGCGCCGTAAACTTTGTATTCATGATAGAAATTTAAACAAACGATAGCTCTCCTCATTCCATCTAAACAGACCTTGTGCCGTAAACTTTGTATTCATGATAGAAATTTAAACAAACGATAACTCTCCCCATTCCATCTAAACAGACCTTGTGCCGTAAACTTTGTATTCATGATAGAAATTTAAACAAACGATAGCTCTCCCTATTCCATCTAAACAGACCTTGCGCCGTAAACTTTGTATTCATGATAGAAATTTAAACAAACGATAGCTCTCCTCATTTCATCTAAACAGACCTTGCGGCGTAAACTTTGTATTCATGATAGAAATTTAAACAAATAATAGCTCTCCCTATTCCATCTAAACAGACCTTGCGCCGTAAACTTTGTATTCATGATAGAAATTTAAACAAACGATAGCTCTCCTCATTCCATCTAAACAGACCTTGTGTCGTAAACTTTGTATTCATGATAGAAATTTAAACAAACGATAACTCTCCCCATTCCATCTAAACAGACTTTGTGCCGTAAACTTTGTATTCATGGTAGAAATTTAAACAAACGATAGCTCTCCCCATTCCATCTAAACAGACCATGCGCCGTAAACTTCGTATTAATTGATTGTATATATATTATACATCTACCAATACACATATATATTTTAGATACAATAAATATATAAAATATTTACTACAGATAATTGGTAAATATATAATATATATAATATAGATACATGTTGATTATTATGATTATCGTGAGCCTGGACTAAGTCACATGCTCAGATTGAAAATCTATCAAGTGCTTATTGTCATACTGGATTCATTTTACTGTTAAAACCATCTGAATATTCTTTTCTGTTTTTCATCAGATTGCTGACGCCATTGTTCGTAAAGCACGCGAGACCCTGGAACGAGCTATCAATCTCGTGAACACAAATGATGAGTGGGGTGCTCGTGTGGTATTATAGGACACCGATAGTCTTTTCGTATTAGTAAAAGGTGCCAGTAAAGAGGAAGCGTTTAAGATTGGAAAAGAAATTGTTGATGCTGTTACTGCAGAGAATACTAAACCTGTGAAACTAAAGTTTGAAAGGTTTTTATCTACTGTAAAATTGTATCTATTTGAGAGATTTGGACTTTAAGACACATTTATGTATAACTACTCCGCTATATCCCTCGACATCGTGTTATTGCAAGGAAACAAAAAGTTAGTTGTCATAAGTACATTCATGAATTGATGTAAAAGCTAAATTAATTTATTTGAACAAATTTTAGCGTTCGATTTCTCGGTTTTTTACAACTCTACACTGTCCTGTATGTGAACAATTAACACAGCACGGTTTGTGTCAAAGTTGTCGTAGCAACCCTTAAAAGTTTGTCTTTATTCTGGCAAGTAGAGTGGGGAACTGGGAAAGAAAATACAGTCATCTTAAAGAGGTATGCTTAATAAATAACCTAATAATTATGGTTTGTCTTTTTCATGACATTTAATTTTTTTCATATTGTAGATATGTTTTCAGTGTTGTGGAGCTAGAGATGAACAACTGAGCTGTATATCACTGGATT